CTTGGAAAATCATGTTNTGGCATTTGTATGATCCTAAATTTTGTACTAGCATTTTCTTCATCCCAACAATCAATGCCAAAATGGAAAATAAAAATGAATTTGTACCCTAGTGAGACCATTACCTTTGGTACAAGGTGGTCACAATTAATCTTGACCATTGGATGTGAAATTGCGTGGGTGCATTTATTTCATTGACCAAGCTCAAAGTTCAAAACAAATTTTCTCGAACTTTGTGATACACCCAAGCTATCAAATTTCACATCAGATGGTTGTAAATAATTGTGACCTCCCTATATAAATGTATACAATCCCCCATAGAAAAGGTCAAAATAAAGCACTTTCCATCAATGAATCCAAACTGTCCATTTTGTGGACTTTGAGATTTAGGCCTTTAAGAACTCTAAATCAAATTTTTATTTTTTAGAATTGTTCATCTAATGTCTATAAGGAAATGTTAAAAAAATTGGGATAAAAAAATATTCCTTTAAGGTCTAGATGTAATCGTCCCATCAAATGGATGGCCCATGTTCATTGGGTTAAAAAAGCATTCTTATGGCACGTTTTTGGATATATTTTTTATGAGATTGTTCATAATAGTGAATTCAAAATTATGGTCAAAGAAGTGCTCCTAACATGATTGTTGAAAGTGTATTTCATTATACTATTATAAGATAGTTGCATGAAATCACTCCCCATGATGTCTGTGTGTGTGCACACACACACACATTGGGTTGGGTCCATGTCCTACACACACACACACACATTGGATCAGGTCCATGTTCATTTGACCTTGGACCAGGTTATATGTATAAAGTAGGGTCAACCTTGCCCAATATGTTCCTGGATGGACCCGGACCTGATCTGGGTTAGGTCCAAGTCAAACGGACATGGACCCGACCCCCAAGGTCTAGTATTTGGGTCTATACCAGCACCTTGGTCTGGTCAACCCATTGGGTCGGCAGGTTGACGTGACCTGTTTGCCATCCCTAATCCCACACTTTCACCTATTGGTAGAGGCCATCTTAATTGATGGTGGAGATTCGTGCACAGAGAGAGGGTAGCACGTTGTTGTGACTGCCAATGCCATCACGACCACCACATTGGATGATGAACAACAAAAGGGGAAAAAAACCACATAGGCAGCCTGGGAATGGGTGCTTGGCTGACCTGGAGATGGTGTTCATAGAGGAGAAAGTGGGAGAGATTGTTGTGGTCTTGATATGGTACCTATAGTAGTGTAGTGCTTGTGTGAGGGCGGTGATGGTGGGCTGGTCGCAGTTGCTGTTCTCTCTCTCTCTCTCTCTCTCTCTCATCAAGAACTTGTATCATAAAAACTTGCTTATTAGGGCCTTTATTGCATGCTCTTTGGCAATTCCATTGTTTCAGGTTTGAGAGGCTTGATAATGAAGATAAATCAAAGTTATTGTTCGAGCTCAAGGAATTGCAGGTTAGTTCATGGTTTTCTAGTGTTTTTCAAACTTTTAGTAAAGCATGTGGCCAAAATCAGTTATCAAAATTGGAGTAACCAACGATTTTGTGCTTAAGTACCATGTATATTTCTTTGTAGCATATACAATTAAGTCCATGTTATCAAAATTTGAGTAACCGACGATTTTGTGCTTCAGTACCATGTATATTCTTTATATCATATACAATTAAATCCATCACTGTTCGATTTATTTATTTTTTTAACTATAGTTTCTTTTCTTTGACGGTGATCTTAGTCCGAAAGGGAAGAAGTTCGTCAACTTCATCAACAGACTCAACGAGAATGTCACAGAAAGGTAAAAGACTTTTTTAGGTTCCTTTATCTAGACTAGCAAATGAAAGGAACCTTTGTTTTTTTTTACTGCAATTAATGAAAGAGACACTACAACATCTAGGATTGTCAATGACTGAAATGGGATAAAATTTCAATCCAGATAATTCCAGTGACCCTGTATTAATTGGATCGTGCTTAAAAAACATACCAAGAACGCATTCATGTGCACCTTTAATCTATGTTGCATGAGTATGCTGTGGACATGGCTGCAGCATCATGCTTTTGGGACTTCACATGGATTTTTCTAATATCCAACATAGATGGGCACCCATTCTGAAGCATCCATGCATTATAGAAGTAACCATCTTTTATTGTATCAGCTATTATGAGATTGGTAAAGGGGCATACACATTACTTGGTCTGCTTATGAAACTACATCTTTACTGTGTTGTGGATCTCTACATGTCTGCCCTTTGCTTTCCAATTTTCTAAAACTAAAGTAAGATTCATAAAGCTAGCATATTACATCACTAATACCCATTTGAAATTACAGTTTTGCACTGGACCTTGTAGGTGCTTTCTTTATGCTCAAAGTTAACGCATAGCACTATACCCTTGAAGGAAAAGCTAAAGTTTGAATAGGTGTGGCCTTTTGTTTTTTTCAAAATCGTCATCATCATCGTCAGAGCCTTTTCTCAATAGGATTGGCTACGTGAATCTTGGTCACTGTTTTGCTCTATCAAGGGTCATACCCTAAATGAGGCTTTAAGTCCACAAATCTTTTTTCACTACTTCTAACCATGGCCTTTTAGGCATGCCCTTTGCCTCTTTTTAGCCTTCCATTTGAACCAAAATGAAGTTTGTTAATCAATAAATAAAAAACCACAAAATTTGGTTCTTGCGGGGGCCAACAATTTGTTCCTTTTGGCAAATTGTATAATAGTTTTTTTTTTTTTTTCTTCTCAGTTTCACAGGACCTGGGGACAGCTTATGAAGACAGGCTATCAGAATTCTCGGTTTGCTCATCAGGTGACATGCCTGAATTAATATATTTCTTGTTTCACCATGTTCTATAGCATTTGAGTCTTTGCATTTTCTCTGTTGAAACTGAATTAAGAGTGCTGCTGATTATACATGTATAGGTGGAGAGGTTTGCATGTCTTTACACCAGTCAGGTGACAAACTTAAGCTTGTACTCTCCTGACAAGTACTACAGAACCAGCGAGGATTTTATGCCACATGAATTTGACATCATCGAGCTGTGAGCATGCTGATAAAAATCCTTCAAATGATTGTATTCTCTAATCAGGTCTTGCAATGGGGCATACTGTCCATATAGCCATGTAAAACATCAGTTGGTAGTCATGTGGAACATTGTTGTGCTCTGCAATTCTGATTTATAATAGTTTTAGACTCGAGAGTTTTGCATGAATAGCCCTCCTGGAAATGCATGGTATTGGGAATTTGGTGTTATCTAATGGTTGTGGGCCTTGTTCTATTAACTCCTTGAAATGTTTGAAAACTTAAATTTAGGTTCTGGAATTGGAGTGCATGGATCCTCAACTGAATAAGCTTTCTTGTTTCAACTTCTCAATAATGAAATCTCTATTTTGGAAAAAGAAAAGAAGTATGGTAGTTAAAGTTTGAATTCTGGCTCTCATAGCTGCCCCTTTCAATTTTATACATACTCAAGCCATTGGCTTCTCTCTCTTGCTTTCCCTTTGTTATGTTTTGGAGGGCAATCCACTTCATTTTTTCTGTGCACAAAACGCTCAAGGATCAGAAACACCAATGTTTTCCTCTCATTTTTAACCTCAGAATATCTAATTCCCAGTTTTGAGTTTTGCAACATCAGTGACTAATTCAAAATTTAAATAACTAAATAACGGCAAATAGGGGAATCAAATTGGAAAACTGTATGTGTCATTTTGGGTGTAAGAGAAACAACAAACAAATGATGAAGGCTTATACATTGGGCGTACTTTCTGGTCGAGCCAGCGATTTCTACAGAAATATTGGATGTCGACTCCTGTTCAGGCTACAACTCTGGAGAGTCCATTCTTTAGCTACAAACAGAAGATTATCTACCTTCTCGGTCTCATTTTGGTTGTAAGGCCTCTTTAGAAGAGCCCCAAGCACCCACTTCGCCCTTACGGACCTAATAGGTGCATAAAGGGTCAATTTGGGTATTAAAAAATTGTGGTGAGAAAAAGGGCAGAGGCATAAATTTGAAGAAATAAAGTATTTATCAAATTTTTAAAAATAAAATTATAATTTTGAAAAAATATTTTATTTGGTATTTAGAGCGTCGGATGATTTATTGAGCTAAGAAAATGTTTAGTACTCCTGGTAGAGAACATTGTTTTTGTAATTATGGGGTTATAACCTTTGTTAGGTACACTGCGTATTATATTTACTGGCATTTGGAAAAAAATAGTAAGGTGGAAAAAATTGATATCTTCGTAAAATTCAATTTTTTTTCTATATATCTTAAAATAACCCTAAAAACACGTTATTCATGTTAATTTCTAAAGCAATATTTTGTAATTAAAACTTTCAAATAAAACTCGTATCTCATTTACTTTGAAAAGGAAAATCGAAGAGTTTTGCACGACTAGAATTTGTCTTAATAACAGTTATTAAAACTGGACAACCAGCCGTCGGTTCAATCGCCAGTTTTTTAAATTTCTTGCCAAAATTTCTAAGGGTGTGATTTGTCGAGGGCGTAGGCTCTAAACAATCAAATTCGAGCCTACTTTCAAATAGCGTCGAGAAATGTGATTGTAATATTGGAAATCTTTGTGATAGTTTTAAAATATATTTTCATACTTGTTTATAAAGTTTAAAGCTTCAAAAATAGTGTAGATTGACATGTCTATGAAAATGTGAAAATATTGAAAATTGACTGTCTAAAAATGCATTACAAAATACACTATTTCCAAAACTTGCAATTCATTTTTTTCTTATGTCCATGCATCTTGATGTCAAGATGATCAATTTGAAGATATTTGAGCATCAAAACAACCTCTTCTAGTGAAATTTCTGAGGTAGGCTCAAATTTGATTGTGTAGATCCTCGACTCTATATAAACTTTTCCCGATTTCTAATGGACCATGGGGTTTTGGGACGATTGAATTTAGTTCTTTTTTAAAATTTCTTGCTAAAATTCTAGATAACTTTATACTTTCTTTTCAGATTTTCAGTTTGATTGCATGAGAACTTTTTATTGCCGAATATTTTCATTGGGATGCCATTTTCTCTTAATCATGTTACTATAAATTCGTTTTATCTCCAATATTTTTAAATGGTGTAAAATTCCTAATGAAAAAAAAAACTTGTAATTTAAAAGTAAAAACTTAGGAAGTTGTTGTATTTGCTCATTTTGAAGTCTATTTTTTATATTGATTTTAGTTATTTTAATATAAATGTAAATAAAATAAAATTTTTTTGCTGTATGGTTTAATATTAGGGTGTAGTTTGTATAATAAGGTTGGGATCCTAAACAATAAAAGTACAGTGCACCTTCAATTAGTGTCGAAAGATGTCATTTCAGTACAAAAATCTTTATGATGGCTTGGAAACTTATTTTCATCTCTAATTATAGAATTTAAAGCTTAAAAAACAGTGTAGATTAAGTAGATCTACGAACACTTGAAAATATTGAAAATTAATAGTCTAGATGCATTACAAGATACATTATTTCCAATATTTGAGATCCTTTTTTCTTGTACATCCATGTATCCAAGGTTGAAATGATTGGATTGGCATCAAAACAACTTCATCTAGTGAATCTTTAGGGTGCATCTAAGCTTGTGTGTTTAAGACCTCAACTCTATGAAAACCCTTTTCTTTATTCCTCATTTTCAAATCTATTTAAGTATATGTATATTTTTAAAATAAAATATCTGTAATTAAGAATTTCGAAAATCAAAAAAATATGTATTGACTATTTTTTTTGATACAAGGCGGTCACAATTCCTTACAACCATTTCATGTGAAATTTGATAGTTTAGTTGTATTACATAATTTAAAAATTTTTTTTTTTTAAAGTTTGAGCTTGGTCAATAAAATAATTAATGTCGCCGGGGCAAAAGGTCCCATTCTATGCTTTCGAACGAGAATTATATAGATAGTGAAATGGATATATTTGTCATTCAATATGAAGTGAGTGGCTCTTTCTCTCTAAAACTTACACGGCCTCCGAGTCCGATGAATAAATGTATCGCTGGTGATGATGCGAATGTAGTTTAGTGTCGCTTGCTGAAGACGCAGGAGAGAGAAGGGGATGACTGCGTTGATGCTAGCTCGGAAATCCCTCAGCGCTCTGCGTGCCCGACAATTGGTAACGCATCCTCCTCTCTCTCCAATTTAACCTTTCACGATTCATTACTCGTTAACTTCTCTGCATTTGTTTTTTTATTTTTCACTTTCTTGGGCGTGATTGTCAATTCCTCAGCGTTGATTGCAATTTAGGGTTTGAATAATCACTTGGAATAATTTGGAATGTTTTACCTTGCATTCATACTTGGCAGATGAGCATTTGTAAGGGCTGCAGAAATTACCTGATATAATTTTGCAGAATGGAGCATTTTCGTAGTCTTTTTTAATCATTTTGAAGAGTGTGTGATCGGGTGGTGAATCCACCTCAATTGTCGCGAGAATCACTGCGGTTCATCTACAGTCTAATTCAGTATCGTAGAATCAGATTTTGTTGGGTTTTATTTGGACGTAATAGGGGGGTTTTGCTATTTATGAGAACGATAGGATGGAAGTGTTATTTACATTGAATTATTATCACAAAGATGAATTGCAATAAGGATCTGGACATCTTTTTTGTTTTGGAGATAAAATAAGGATGTGGACATCTCAAATTTTATTCCCATATAATTAGAAAAAAGTTCTATATGAGGTCTCCTATCTAGTAACCACATTGATTGAGCTGCTACTTTATGGAATAAGATTGTAGTACTATATGAGGTCTCCTATCTAGTAACCACATTGATTGAGCTGCTACTTTATGGAATATTAGGGCCATTCTATACGTTCTTTTTTGTGGGTTCTGTAAGCTCAGAGTCAAACGACCATGTCAGTGTTACGAGTTCCTAACCAATGAGCAAAAAGGCAAGTTACTTTGGGCATTTGTCCTTTTAGCTTTTATTTTTTTTTTGGAGGGGTGGGGGGGGGGGGTGGTGTTGGGGGGGTTTCTTATGAGATATTTTTCCTTTCAACTTTAACGGCTTCTGATCTCAGAAGGGAACTATCAGAATACCATGATTTACATGCATTGTTTGTTTCCATCACAATCTGGTATTGCCTATTAGTCTTGTACGAATACCTACATCAATGGTTTATTGCATAATGAAAATATCAGAAATCAATGGAACTTCATATCTAGAAGTTTTAGGATTACTGCAAGCAATAATGCTTCGATATATGGTTGTCTATCTCATCAGGAAAAGCGAGAGCTTTTAATTTTAGTAGTTATCCCATTTGTGGTTCACATGTATCCTAGGAAAAGAATTGTGAATTGAATATGTTGTCATAGGATGCGGATTCTCATTCTGTGCATAAGAGAAATGAATAGATGTAAATATTAACTACGATGAATTATTTATATGAGTAAGAAAGCTTACATGGAGAGAATTATGGCACGAAGATGTGGTTATATGAATTATCAACTGCACTAAATTCAAGAGCCTAAGCTATGGTAACCTGTTACATTAATGATCTCAGCATTCTTAAAACAAATTGCTTAGGTATTGGCAAATCTTTTTTATTGTTTGGATTGTGTAGCCATAATACATACAAAGGGAAGTGCTATATGTAGTTTGAGTACGATGGTCTCTGCACATAGGTGAATAAGGAGAGAAAATAATTTGATGCATTGATTCATTTTTTTAATTATTAAGTCAAATAATGTTTGAGAGAATTGGACTGTTTAGGAAAATCATATTGATGGAAGAGTGTTTCTGAAGATATAAGCCATGACTCATGAATAATGATATGAGGATATTTTCAATGTTCTTGTTTCATTCTTCCAGCACGGATTTTGACCATCATTGTTTTGGTTGTACATGGGTCTAGATAATTCGTTATTCATAAAGTTTGATGGGTGGTTATGCCTTGTCTTTGAGCGCTTAATTTTTGGATCTTTACTTCTTTCCCTTGGGCACAAACCTTGACAAATAAGATTCACCACCCACGCATCCCTCCAAACTATTACCTGAGGTGCTGGGGATGGGCGTAGGAGATAGTTTATGGAATTCTCATGTGTGCCAAGGATGCTTCAGTGTTATGCCCCAGATGTACATGGGGTGGGGACATTGTTGTGTTGCACAGCCTGCAGTCCCGATAGAGGAAGTCTTTTGGTTTTACAGAGGCTCACAAAATTTGCTTACTTCCTATCGTATTTTGTTTCTGATCATGAAATTTTCATTCTTTGTTGTTTTTTCATATTAGAATGATTTCCTTGTTGTCACCAGCCTTAAGAGATAACCTGATATTTATTATATGGTGCTCAATCTTGATGTAGGTCACCATCGGCCAAGCTTTACCAGGTTCACAACATTACGGACGATCATTTGGATGCCATTTTTATACAACAAAACGAAAAGGTTTTTCACCTTACCCCGCTAGCCATTTAGTTCTTTGTAATCAGCTTGAAAGATGATAACCGTAATGAGGGTGTAAAATACTGAGAAAGTGAAGTATATATGGTATTGTGTAGTTCTCGTATTCATTAGTTCATTAGGATACCTAGTATGAGTTGTCATGTCATCATGTCTTTCTCTTTCGGTGTTGCAATAGGCTCTGATACTACTGTCAAGAGCAAATTCTAGTATATATGTATGAATTTGTGCGTGTGTGCATGTGTGTGTGAATTTGTTTTAAACTTAATTCATAGATGTGAATAATTATATACAAAGTGCAAAGGATGAGATCCAGGAATTCTTTTTTTTTTTCCTTGAATGCTACCGGAATTTAGTTTAATCTGAGGCATTAGCAATCAGCCTTGTTATGGTCCGTTTTTAGCTTGTGACATCTAGACTTAGATTGATCCAACACTTGTCCATAATGTCACAAATTTTTGAAGTAGATGAAGAACCAATCTTACCACCTTTAAAGGGTCTTCCTCAGCAATTAAATGTCTGGATATCAGTACCATGAAGTCCTGAACAATAAATAAGGGTGATGCATGTAGCTTCCATATAGGTCATTGTCAATTGCTCCAGAATAGCGTATTACACCTGGCCGTGGCACCTCTGGACAAAACCCCAACTTGGCTAGGCCTGTGTTACATCAAATTTAGCTTCAGCATCTTCTATGCTATCCTTCTATTATGTTCTCATCTCTTCAACCAACACCACATACTAATTCTTCAAAACTTGATCAAACCTAACCCCTTTAAGTTCCTCCCTGACCACTGCTTAAGGAATCATAGCCCATGACCTTATCCAAACTCCACAACCCTTAGTTTCTTTGAACCCCGTGCTCCAAAAGAAGTTTCTAGAAAACCCTAGTGATGTCTTCTTGGACAAGAGAAGGAATGGGTGGATGACTATAATTCTTGAGGAATTGCCTATTGATCACCATTGGAATGACTCTTTTGGGAGTAGGCACACCACTATAGTTTAAGTGCTACTGCATCACACACGAACCCCATCCCACCTCACACACACACACACGCACGCACGCACACGTGCGCACACACACACACACACACACACACACAGAGGAGATGTGTGTCTATTTGAGAGAAACATGATATAAGTAGATTTAAGTTCTAATTGAGAAAATCTGGTAGGGCATCAAGATTTAGGTCATATATTCTACCCGTCAAAGTAGGAACTTGCCTTTATAGAGTCCTAATTAATAAGATTTCTGTGCACATGCAAGACTATGATAAAAAAAAAATCTACTATTGAGGTTCTTTTTTATTTTTAATAAAAGTAAAAAAATGATGCTCTCATATCTTCTATAAGTAAAGTGCCACCTTCAGAGCTACGTGGCTAAAGAATAGATGTTCAGAGGTTTGGTGAAGGCTCGGCGATATACTTTGTTTTGATGAAATGGGTTTCGTTATTTAGTGGTCTTGCAGGTCTATGTATTTAATAATAAAACTAAGCATAATAATATTTTAATATATAAATAAAATATGTTTTCTTTATTAACTTAGACAGAAATTTTTTAGTTCTTAATCTTTTTTATAGGTCATTTACATGAAGGAATATGCACATAGTATGTGCCCAAGGGTTTACTATTGCTTAGAAAACCGGGATGCCTACCCAAACAAACAAAAGAAAGGTGGAACTCGCCGTGAAAAGACCGAAACTTTGGGAAAATTTCAGTAAGGTTATTCTGAACGTCCATTGAGTAGGCCAGTTTGGGTGTGGCTATCAAGGCCTCTTGTTTTCATCCTCGCAGGGTGCATGCTGTGTATGTAATCTATTGGATTAAATCCTCTTATTAAAAATAAAATTTTGATTTCTTCTGTGAAAATATTTATTTAAAAGATGATGTTAAATTATATTAATAAAATATTTCTAAAAAATATTTCCTTTTGATACAAAATATTTCATAAGAGAGACTTGAAGCATAATATATGCATGCAAGAGTACACGTAATTTTCCCCTTTCTTACTTCTCCGTTATCCTTCCTAGGTTTGATATGTGACATAAACAATGAAGTCACTTTTGATTTTTCTCATTGAAGGACCAAAACTTTGTATTTGAACACACATTCTAGTCATTATTATTTTAATAATTTTTTAAAAGGGTATGTTATTTCTTAATATTATTTTAACAAATATAAAATCTATATGAGAAATAGATTAATAATCCAATTGGGTTGAAAACATATTTATAAGTTGAAAGTTTATTTAAGTAATATCATTAATTCATATAAAAATCAACTATAAACTATAATTAGGACTATTTTTAATTGTAAGTTAAATATTATATTTTCAATTATCTATTGGTTAAATTAGTAATTTTGCCACCCAAGTTCTTGAAAATCAAAAGTAATTAAAAAAAAAAGCCGCCAATATATAATACCACCTCAGAAATGTAATCATGAAATTTATTTCTTTTATTTTAAATTTTTTGTGATCCCTGAATAATGATATTATTTTTTGGGTAGATAAAACAATATACACTTTTTTGGGCAGTTCAGCAACAGAATGACATTCTAAATCAAAAAATCCAAAATTATGTAAAAGAAAACTCTTCCTAAATGTTTTCCATCAAATATTTTCTTGAACACAAATAGAAATAAGAACATCGCACAATTGATAATTCAAAACACGTACTCTTTGCTAGATTATTTAATTGTTAATTACAAAGTAATAATTTTGGATTTAAAATAATAATTTACCTTCATACTATAAGTTTCTAATAAATATAGTTTCTTTGCATGTACAAAATAAGATAAATTCTCAAATTGATTATCTTTTCTGCCCTTTTAATTACTAAATCTTGTTGTCTATTTGTCCTACTTAAGATGAGAGGTCATTAGGAACTTTATAATCATCATAAATAAGGTTTCCATGCATTATACATGGCTATGATAAAATTTCTTATTTTTTATTTAAAAAATAGAAGCAAAAATAATGAGGACATTGTGGTCTTCAATTAGACTAGTTTGATTATTTTCTCATTTACTTTTCAAGGAGTAAATATGAGACTCATTTAATGATGTACTTAGGTTTTTTATTTTTATTTTTTATTTCGTAGTTTTTTTGGGAGTGAAAGTGTAGAATTAATTTATTTTATTTTAACTAGGGATATTTGGGTCATTATGTTCAAGTCAAGTTGTATAAAATAAGGAGAGATGGACATCGTTGGTGAGTATTTTTGAGAAACTCTGAAATGAAAAAGGAAAAAGAAAAGAAAAGAACTGTTGGACGGGCTTGTTTATTCCCTCTTTGAAAGGCTGTAGAGAAGGCTTGGTATTTATTTCTTAATTGAAGGCTATAGAGAAGGCTTGGTTTTTATTTCTCAATTGAGGGCCATAGAGAAGGCTTGGTACTTAATGTGAGTACCTTATACCAAAGATAAATGGTCTCATTCTATACTTTCACTTAATTTATTGGTAAACCAAAAAGATAGTGTTAATTCATAATTATTAATTTATCGAAAATACTTTTTGCATGTAACAATAATTATTAATTTATTGGTAAACCAAAAGATAATATTAATTCGTAATTATGAATTTCTCGAAAATATTTTCTTGCATGTGATAAAAATTAATTTATTAGTAAACAAAAAGATTCATAATTATTAATTTCTCAAAAATACTCTTTGTATGTAACAATAATTAGTAATTTATTAGCAAACCAAAAGATACTATTAATTCTTAATTAATAATTTATGGAAAATGCTTTTTGCATGTGATAGTAATTAATTTATTGTTAAGCCAAAAAAATAGTATTAATTTATAATTATTATTATTATATAATATATACAATAAAATAGGGGAAGGTGTGGGGATCCAAGTTCAAAAAAAAAGACAACGAAGCCCGCCTTTGGGTCTGGGCTCTTGCTTATGCGCCCGCATTAGCACCTAGGCGGTCCAGAGCCCTCACCACCTAGGTGGGCTGCCTACGCCTTCTTGAACATTTCTAGGGATTTGTGCGATGTTAGATGGAGTAAATGTGTTCATCATTAGGGCTTGATGTGGGGTTTGAGGACGGATATGCGACCATAGTGCTGATCCCAAGGGTTCATGCCGTATCTATACCGACGTGTCTTTTTGTTACAATGTTAAGCTATCATGATCTATTGTTGGTTCAAAACACACTCAAATGAATGCCCCAAAATGTTGCACTTTTGTTTGATGTGTTAAGTGTGACATTCAGTCATATTCTTGGTGCCATTTTTGACCTTATAGTTTTAAGGTCATGTAATAAGGACCACTGTATTAATGTGAGAAAATTCGAAGCACGTCTTTTACACTTGTTCAGAAACCCAAGGATTCGAACCTATGGATATGTAAAAACATGATTTCCTATCATAACAAGAAAATGAGGGAACCAAATACTCAATTAAAGTGAGTAAACAAAATTCCATACTACCAAGTACTTGCTAAGACAACTAACTAGCTCTTTGCGCTTTAGGTTGCTCATAGCTCTGTAGGTGGCTCATCTTGTAAATTAACACTTGTAGTATGGCCCTATTCACATAGTTTAATGTCATATGATTGGGAAGGGTGTTCCTCAATTTATAGTTGTGTGGCTCGATTGTAGTTTTCTTGTTTTGGGCCTTGCACTGCTACTAAAACACAGAAAATGGTCGCCCATTTTCTCGGGTCTTCGTATCTCACAAGAGGGGGACTTTGTAGTTTGTTGTCTTGCATCTAGGATGATGTAACAAATATGACCGTATATGTAATGCAGTTTAAGGTCGACTAAGACCATACGAAGGATGGTCGGTGCCCTTTTTCTCGAGTTGTTTGCATGATGTGCGTATCACAAAAGAGGGGCTTTGCAGTTTATTGTCTTGCGTCTAGGATGATGTAACAAATAGCACCTTTTATGTAATGCAGTTTAAGGTCATGTAACTAAGACCATACGAAGGATGGTCAGTGCGACTAGCCCGGGATTGTGAATGCGGGATTC